CGCGCACACTGCTTGTCATCTCCTCTGGCCCCTGTGGAAGCTGTAGAAGAAAACCGGGTCTGATTCGCTTTATGGTGCCTGTTACGGATGTTTGGAAGCAATTTACACTTGTACTAATACTTCGTTTAGGAGAGACGACCTGGAGGGAAGGAGGAGGAAGGGCCTCTTCGCTCGGCTAGAGTTCTCAGTCTCTTTGTAACTCTGATCTTGAGATTTATGGAAATAGGGAGGGGAAAAGGAAGGGGGCGGAGAATAAATTGGTGTTGCTGTCTATATATAGCCTTAGATTAGCCTCTTAATCCAGTCTTCATTCAACTGTAATATGTAGCTTCGAGCTTCTACCATAGGTAGCTAGGGGGTAAAGACAAGTGTGTACCCTCTTGTGGCTTAGAAATAAGACTCGCTTGCTACTATAAAGTCAGTCATCCCTCCAGGGCGCGCATCCGTAACATATTTACAGCATCAATGAAAGCTGCTTTCGAAATTAGTGTGTACGTTTCGCTTTATTGTTTCTCTATAGACTAGTATTAATGTTTCTCCCAAGATCCATCTGCTTCAAAGAGAAATATTTGAATAATTCAAATTTTTTGTTAAGCATCTCCACCACCACTCTTTCTCCCCACAGTGTAATATGAAGTGAAGTGCATTTTCCTCTGGCCGTACGCCTTCATTTTTTTTTTTTAAAGCATTCACCAACACTTCTGAAATTCTGGAAGATGTTCATCACTATTCCCTGCCTCTAACAAAAATCTTTCTTAAACCCCAGCTGTTTTCTTCTCTAAGGCTTCTTCATCTTTACAGACTGGGGCAGATCTGAGCCAGAACATCTTACATGAAAATGGTTTGAAATTGTCCATCTCAATGTCTAACAAAGAAACTTTTGTTGGATGATGCTTTAATAATGAGGTGGCTGTTCAGACAACATGTAATAAAGCTGTTGAGAGTGACCAAGCTTTTGTAACACTTAGAATGCTGTTACTGCCACAGTCTCAATTGATTTAAAACACAGTATCATGCAGAAGAAACCACCTAAGAAAATACTTGCAGAGTAACGCCCCCTAACATCTGACTTAACATCTTACAGCAATGCATGGCCAGAATTGGGTACTTCATTGCTAGTATTTCCATCTCTTGTGCCAAATTGGGGCCATGGTTACTTGAAGGTCACACCTGTTTGCCTCACTGAGGTTGTCAGTTCCTTGATGATAGCAACTTATTATTATTTCTTGGTGCCTTATAGCACCTGGTTGGTATTTAGTCCTCTGTGAATATATGACTTCAGTAAATTGAATCAATGACATTTAAAGACAAAAACTAACATCTACCTGGAAAGGCAGATAAATAATATGTTAAGTTTAAATTTCTGGAAACAGGTATGTAATGGATAGTGTTCATCAGATGGATTACATTAATCGTTTTGTACAGTGTAAATATTTAATGTAGGAATAAGATTAGCTAATGAGCATCCCTTAAACTTGAACGAGGAACTTTTCTTGTATTAAGAATACATTCCCATCGATGAAATTTTGTTGATAATGAAATGACTAATTGAGTATGTAGTCTGTGACCAATATTCTACCAGATGCTTTGTATAGGATTATTTTAATTATTGTTATAGCGATTATATAGGGAATTACCAATATTGTCCCTATTTCTGCAGATAAGAGCACAGAAACTAAAAAGAATTAATCAATGTGCCCCACAGTTAGGAAGTGTCAAAGCCAGAACTGGAACCTAGATCTGTCTCCAAAACTTTTCCTCTTTTCCCGATTTTCTGCCTATGTGGCTGATGGCAAGGGGGAAATTATATATTCTGTGAACTAGCTAATAGATAATCATGTGGTTCAGCACGCCAGCGAGACGTGCCGAACCACGTGCCCTCTCTCCAGTCACTTCTCCATGCCCTACAACCAATGCATCTATTCCTCTTAGACCCTTCCTGAGATATTTTATGTGTTTATACCTCATATATAGATTTCCACTTTTTTTTTTTACAGATATGGGAGCATGCTAACACAATGTTCCACACTGTATAATAGAATTTGTGTAATGCTTTGATCTCTCTTCTGTTCCTTTCTTCACCTTTTTAAAACTATTAATTTCTGAAATGGCTGAAATGCCATGTGTCCCCTCATCTCTTTTCTACTACTGTCTCCCTAGACCCTTCCTGGCCTATTGCAGTGGATTTCCTAAGCAGCCTGCTTCTCTCTCACCTCACCCCATCAAACTAATTCAAGGCACCACCAAAACATTGAGCACCCATCATCCATGCAAGAGTGAGACGTTCTATAGAGACAGAACTGATTCACTTAAAACGCATCAATGACTTTTCTCTGGCCACAGACTAGAGACTCAGCTCTGGCCTGGAAGGCTCCAACTCCTGGTCCCAGCAGACATTTCCAGTCAGCCAGCCCCTCCCACACACTCTGCTCTAAGGTCACCACGCTGCTGGTTCCATAACGTGCCAGTAATTTCCACCCATTTGTTCCTGCTTTTCTCTTCCTGGAATGACCTCCCTTCCCTCTTCACTGCGTCTCTCCTCTCCTCCCCTCCCCGGATCTGACGACTGCTCAGTTTTCAAAATACTACTGACATGTAACCTCTTCAGCTTTCATGATCACCCCTCCCATCCCATTAATATGAGGAGCGTACAGACAGACACTGGTAAACAAATTTATTCATATCCTTCAGGTAGGGGGATAAGTAAAATCTTTAGACAAGAGTTGCTGGTGCAATTATCGACATCCTCTACAATTCTATTTTCTAGTGACCCTCTAGCTTCCCACACCCATGTAACATCATTGCTTCTTCAAAGCAGTTTTCATGACTCTATTATAGCTATTATTAATCTATTTGAACCCTTCTCTTTCTAGACAGTAACTAAAGTAATTTACTTTTGTTTACCAAGATTGTAACCCATTGTCTTGTGCCTACTTTATGCTCAGTACATGCTGAATTGAAATCAGTTTGATATCTAAGTTACTTTAGGTGGATTTGTGTCCCTTCCTGGCACTGTGAGGTGATTGTGGCATAATCACACCATCATAACCAAGGACAGAAGTTCTTTAAATGTTTTCGGCCTCAAGCTGCTTGATATGCTGATGCATGCTATCAACCAAGAAAAAACTTTTCCAAGTACACATGTTGCAAACTATGCATACAATTCTTGGGTTCCCCCATGAAAGCCCTGACCTCCAGCTCTTGGCTTTAAGAGGCTGCTATTTCCTTTTTATTGCAGGGGACTAGCCCATGTTCAAGTATTATATCTTTCATGGTAAGGTCTTCCTTGACATTTGAGTTTCTTTTCTTAGACTTAGGGACATTTCTTGACTGAGTGGATATTTGATGCCATTATGGAATTTTATTTTCTTTCAGGTGTGAAAATAATATTGTTCTTATCTTTTTAAAAGATCCCTTATCTTTTCGAGATATATACTGAATTATTTAAGGAGGGAATGATGCGACATCTGAGATTTGCTTCACTGTAACTCTGTGACAGTAGGGGACAGGGACTAAGTATAAATTAGACAAACTTGACTGTTAACGATTGAAGCTGGGCGATGAGTGCATTGACTGTTCTCTCTACTTTTGGATATGGTTGAAGTTTCCCATAATGAAGTTTTTAAAGTAAAATTTGGAAGTATTACAGCATCTTAAGAAATTGTTGTTCTGTGTATTACCAAAACGTAAGAAAGTAATTTGAATACAAATGTTCCTCCTCTATACTTGGAGTCTAGCTTATGCCATTATTCATTTAAATGTTAAAACAGTTACACCTAAACCTGCAAGAGACTGTCTTGTGAACAGTGCTTTTCCATAAAGCGTTCACATCACATTTTAACTTCCCCACAAAAATAAAAGGTAGGTGGCATAACTCAGTGCTGTGTCACAGGCTCATGAATATCTTACTGGCAATTAAGCTTCATCTTTTTGGGAAACTGACAGAGTAATGTGCAGACAAGCCTGGACAGGGGTGCAAATATATTTAGTTTAGCTGCGAAAATCAAGAGGTGAATGAAGTGGAGCTACTGATTTTCTTCCGTATCTCATAAACCAAGTCAGAAGGCATTACCCTCCCCCCCCCAAAAAAAAAAGAAAGTGTACCGAAACTGCTGAGAGCGGTATCAGCATTGGTAGGCCATGTAGATGGATGTAGGAAAGACAGGACGAGACTCAGGCACACCGAGGTGTGTCTGCTAGGATCTTCCTCAGGGTTTGCTTATCTAACTGCTTGTGTCGACACAGATTTTACGGAGTTTTGCAGCTTTATGAACTTGTGTCTTGATGTGTAAGTGTATTATGTTTCGTACTTATTAAATGTCAGTGCATTCAAATGCCAACATGTAAATTTTTGTTTCATTATAATATGTCTCCCCAGACTTTATTTGAAGGATTTTTTGTTTGTTTTTTAAAGAATATTTAAGTTCAAAGCCAGACTTTTACAATGTCTAAGGACATTGTAGCCAGTCCAGTATCACTGCAAGTTCATGTTGAAGCACACATTAATATGTATCCAATTTAGGTGGATGTTTGTATTGGATATGTCACTGGGGAATGTAAAGCTCTAGTCTGGTGCCTCTTATCTCTGAGTATAATGAAACGGTTCCAATAATTAAAAATAGAAAACTATTTCTGCATCAGAAGGGAAAAGGTAGCATTCACCTTCCCAATGAATACATACATGTAAGCTAGGAAATTGGAGTGTTTGTCTCTTGTCATTTGGTTACCCATTGTGGGATTATGTTAGAGCCCGCAGACAAAGCAGTCCTTAAAACTATATGCATCAGCCTCTGGGTGAGATCTCTTCCTGGCCTGTTGATTTGTAGAGTAAAGCAGTCCCATTAAGTAGCCTCTTCTGACCTGGTAGGAAATGATGACGGACGATCCCTGGGAGACACTCAAGCACAGCCACAGCCCTGGGAATTAGAGTGGGAAACCAAGGCTCCATCCTCCAGGATGAGATTTCTTTTCCAAGGCTTTCAGCTTCTTCAGAGACAAAATGGAGCTGTTAACCATATGTATAGGGTGACACTGAGAATCCGTGAGGCTATCCCGTGGAATATAAAATGTTATATAAAAATGAGCTGTTACTTTTAGGGCCAATCCTGTCTATTTTTGCAGTTGGGAAATAGATGAATAACATAATTATAGGCCTAGTTGATAAATCATTTCCAAGTAAAATTGTGTAGACATTAGTATTTGCCATAAGCCTATCTTCCTGCATTTTGGAAGATGAAAATTATTTTTCAAATTAAAGAGAGACCCTTCCATAAAAGATATAATTCTAGTAATTATGTCTGAGGATTAACATTTTTTTTTGCATGACTAAGAAACTCGGTGTGCGTTTGCTATGTTCCGTGAGTCACACAGGAGAAGACATGATCTTTGTCCTCTAGTGGCTTCTAGCGCCCTCCTGGAGACAGGCCAGCCCCTGCAGCAAAAGGGACTAAGGTAACCATCCTAGAGCTCTTCCCGTGGGTTAGACACCTTTGCGCTCTTACCGTTGCCCGTTTAAGTGGCTGTCTGGCTCCTGCCTGTCCGTCAGCTCTAAATCCAACCATGTTGTTGCTCATCTACCCAACCCCCCCCCCTTCCTGCTCCTGGAATGCCCTCCTGCACCCCTTCTGCAGATCCCCTTTCACTCAAATCCCTCTCTGCTCCCACAGCCCTTCCTCCACAGAGCCTCCTCCGGTCCCTAACCTGAGAGCAGTACAGACACAAGGGTGGAGCTCAGTGGAAGGTCTGATTCCTGAAGAAAGTGACATTTTGAACAGAGAGCCTGGAAGGATTGGTGAATTTGGGACAGGCAAGTCAGAAAAGTCAATATTCGCTGTAATTGCAGGGCCAGCCATACTGGAACTAGAAAATGATTTCATTCAAAGCTGTGTTTTCCTCAGTGTCTACTTTTTAAAGTAAAAAATGTGGTCGATTATATTTTAAGGAACACTTTGATGGTATGTTCTTGCTCTCAAGTAATTTAAAAAATGTGACATCACACAGTTTCGTTTAAGACGAAACTGAAAATTATAAACCAGTCTGTCCAGAATTGGTGGTAGCAGGAAAGTTGATAATGGACATAAAAAGAAACAGTGGAAGAGAAAATCATATACTATTAGAATAGTTTGCCCTTACAAAATAATTTGAAATTATCCACAATAGCGAGGGTATAAATAGCCAAAACAGCTGGAAAATAAAATGAGTAGGAAATTCTTTGTGAAGTATATTTTGCAAATGAAAGGTCTGAATATCTGATCATTGAACCTGATCTATATACCTCAAAGGAATTTTAGGAGTTGTTAGTCTTTCAATTTGGTTTTTCCAATTGGACAGTTCCTTTTCTTTTTTTTTTTCTTTTTTTATACTTGTGTGGATAAAGACATAGCCAAAGCAGTTAAACCTGAGAGATAGGACTCGGGGATTTAATAATCAGATTAATGTGAATCACTGTAATGCGGGATTGTGGTTCATTAGGAATTTCCATAGCATTTTTTCTTTGTATCTATTAAGGGGAAAAAACACGTGATAATTTAGAATAATTTCTGATTTTGTAAAATATAAAATCTACCAGTATTAGCAGGGTGTGCACAAGAATACTTTTCATTCCTAACTCACCCTGATGTCTATGGTGAAGCCGTGGGTCTCTTGAGCAAGTATCTTTTGGGCAGTTAAGTACCAGGTGGAATGATTTGGCCTGTTCTAAGCTTGGCACGTGTTGGGTGAAGAATGCCAAAAAGTGTTCTAATAGTCATGTTTGTAAACTATCTACTTTGAAAAATAAAGGTAACTCACCGAATGAACCATTCTTGTGGTAAATGCCAAGGAGATAGTGCGTTCATTATTCTTACTTGATTTTTAATATCAAGTGTATCTTTTTGTTTTTCAGTTTATGTCAAATTAGGAAGAAAACAATATAATGTTATATAAGGAAGACTTAACACCCCACTTTTATATTAAAACTACTACCCTTTGGCTATCTTTAATTCTCTTAATTATGGAAATATTTTGTTAGGAAAATAATAATTAAACCCATGAGAGATATAATATGTTTTCTCTTTTCATATTTCAACTTACTTTTAGGTTAGATAATGACTTAAAAATACTTGCTAGCTATGCTGTTATTTTTGAGAACTTCTAAATTAAGAAAAGCACTGGGCAGAGGTGAATCATAAGGGATACTGACTCTTAGCACTGCCCTATGCAGTGTCATGATGGTCTACTGTCACCCTCTTTTGTAGACTCACACAATGGACTTTAATGCTTTTCCAACTAACCTTGATGGCTTCCTGGATTTGTGATCATTTCTAAGGAAAAAAGAAAAGAACATGACCTATTTTTTTTCTCAGTATACAAGGTAATAGAGTGGGGTTATTATAAACAGGAAGGAGACCCCCAAGCTGATGGTACAGAGGAAACGGCAGGCCAGAGGAAAGGGATGTAGCATTGGTGTTTAGGGTGTGAAGGCTGTGTTTTTGTTCGAGTTGGGCCTCGGCAGGAAACAATTTGTTAACTGGCTCCTATAGTACTGGAAACCACAGGGCCATAAATTTCCTACTATTTTCATGTCCCTAAGAGGCAGGATTTTTTGTTAAGTCCTCTCACTAAAGGCATTTTTTTTTTCTTAATAGAAATCCATGTAGAACTATTTTGCGTTTTGGAGGTAATATATGCTAATCCAGTTTATCCAAGTGCTGAACCAGACTTTAAAATTGTTATTTATACTTTATCTGATTCTAAACCATAAGATCTGAGGCAAATAATGAAAAGGCTGCCTTCTAGAGTCATATAAATAATTTCCCAAGACTCAGCAACCACTTTGGTTGCCTCTTGGGAAAGTGCGCTGAGTACAGCTTGAGATAATCAGATTCTGGCCCTGACTCGTCCAGGTATGTGAGTCCCTGACGGGTAGGGATTTGGGCTTTTGACCTCTGTTATATCACCGATGTTAGAATGCAACACATGACCTCAAGCAAGCAGTGTGACATTTCAGAGCCTTCCTGGAGTGTTAGATGAACATCTGGGTTTAGGTCCATGGTTTTCAATCACGTACAGTAGTTATAAGTCTAACAGTAAAACATACACGTTTAATTATTAAAGCATTCTTAAACACAACTGCAACTCAATGCATCATTGTGATGTACTTTACACAGTGGAGACCAGTAATTCTTGTTAATTCACTCTGCCAGACTTTTTGTGCAGTGCTTGGCTCAAACCTCCACCTGCTAGAAAGTAAGCACCATGCAACTGGTCTGATCATTCTGTCTGTGTCCCTATTCACTAGTATGTTTGGCAAATGAATACAAATGAATGATTCTCTATATGTTTGAATCTTTTTAAAAAGTATACTTGAGAGAGTTTGTCGTACTATGCTGTTTTGTTTTTTTGTTTCTTGGTTGGTTGGTGGTTTGGTTTTCCCCTCTCTCTTTTCATTGGAGTTTGTGTGGTCCACTCCTGTAAAATTGTGTCAGGGAATACAGCCTCATACCATCTTGTGCCGTGTCCCACTAAGTCTTGGGCTAGACTTTGGTATTTCTATCTGGTTCATGCTGTCCTCATTGTGAAATAGGCATGTTTATGCTAAAGAACTCCTTTGTGTGTACAGCCCTTCAAATACAACTTCATGTGCTGGACAGGCTTGGGCAGGTCCCCTCCTGGGAGGATGGGGGGAGGAGGGGCTCGAGAGATCTAAGTGAGAAAACGTTTGGCCGCTTGCCTGCCACCACCTTTGAGCATCCTAAAGGTCCATTACCATCCATGTTTTTTAAGCAGTTGCTCCAAAGCAAATCATCTCACTAGTTACCAGTCTAGGGTGTTATTTTTTTCCCCAGAGATTCTGTTTTCCTTTCCTGCTTGATTAAAATGCTAAGAAGAGAGGACCACATGACAATCCTCCTTGCCATAGTAACTTCTAACTTCCCAATTGAATGAGTAGTCATAAACACCCCATCAGTTTTGTGTCTGACACAAAATCAGCCTTAAGAAACTGACTTGATCTCTGTCATTTGACACCACTACCTGCTGATTTGTTTTTAAAAGACTTTTATCTTTTTAGAGCATTTTAGGTTCATAGCAAAATTAAGAGGAAGATACAGAGATTTCCCATCTACCCCTCTGCCCAGACACATACGTAGCCTCCCACGTTATATCATCCCCACCAGAGTGGGGCATTTGTTACAGTTGATGAACTAGAACTTGTTAGATAACACGTGGTCTCGCACATACATAAGTGACTGGCGTAAATGTTCAATTCATTTTCTATATACACACGCAACACGCACACACATGCACGTATGTAGATTTATTGTTATATATGCATAGACATTTTCTTAAAGTCTACGTAAGGCAGGGTTAAAAGATTAAAGACGTTATTACTTCCACAGAGTGGGACTCTGTCTATTCCATGGGCATGAGATCAGGAGTGAAAGCATGGGAAGTGGACTTTATTTTTTTACTTTATACTCTGTTAGTTTGTTGCCATCAGGGTATTAGCGCTTTATAATGTAAAAGAGCCAATTAAAGTAAAATAATATAGAGAGACCATCTTGCTTTTCCTAAGCTTAAAACTACAATATGATTGACAAATTTCAAAGACAGCCCTTTCTCCAAGAAAGGCTTCTGATTTTCCTAAAGTGATGTATTAGAGCACATGGCTTTTAAAATAGAGACGCTAGAGGATGGCGTTGAGTCAAGTCTAATAACTGCCAGTTCTAATGCAAGAAACAATTTTGAAGTTGTACTTTGGTGTACTATTAGAAAAGATGATAGAATTGGATTTAATTATTTTTTCTATATGTGTGCATACTCCTCCGCCCCCACCAAAAAATGGAGGCTTATAGCATTAAAATGTGTATGCTGGTCATTACTGAAAATTAGAATTATGGATACTTTTTCCCAAGTTTTCCCTAAATTTTCAGCATTGTACATGATGAACTGATTTTATCATCAGTGATCTTTAAGGAATTATTTCCTCTACAATAAGTATTTATTTTTCTACATCTTTATCAAATAATCAAGTGGTGACATAAAATCATGTCTTGGTAGATATGGACCCTCCAAATCATCACCTTATAGGATTTTATATTTACTCTGTTAATAATTGAATTAATCAATAAATATTTTAAATTGCTCTTTGAAAAGTATATTAATTGCCTTTGAACACTATATAAAGAAGGGGTTCATAAATATTAATAAAAAGGAGTTTTGATTAATAAAAGCATTATTAGTTTAGATTATAGTTATCCTGTATTTAAGGAAGAAATGAATGTGACTGGTAAATTCTGAAATATATGTTTTTTAATCAGTTAAGTTACTATACAACATTTTGTGCTTATATGTGCTTTGCTTGATAAAGATTTCTTTAAATACATAGGAAAAATAATGGGCTATTTTATTTAAAATCTTTGAAAACCCTTTCTGTTCAGGAATCATAACTTTGCCTTTAGGTATTTATTTTGAATTAGTAGAGGTTAGAACTTCTTATCTTTTAAACACCTCGTGTCTTATTTTGCGTACACACATTTATTTTCCTTGTTGACTTTATTCCTCTGATTGTGATATTTAATAATACTCACTTTCATTTTATATGCTTCTGAATCCCCCCTCACTCAGGGCTGTAATGTAGAAGAGTATTTCCACTGCAGGGATCGTACAGGTAGTGTGGGGTGTGGCTAAGCGGTTCACAGCTCCCTTATGCTAAGGATGTTGTGTCCTCTATGAATACAGCAAAATAAAGAACCCTTTTTCTGAGGAGGCAGTCAGGGCATTTTAAAAATACTTAAATATCTTCTTGTACACAGGACAGTCAAATAC